AATTATAAAATTAAAATAATTTAATAGAAAAAAATTAAATTACTGATAAAAATAGCCAAAGTAAGAAAACTTTAATTATTTTTTTTCACTTTTACACTTTATCTACGGTTACACTTTATATTTCATTTAGTTTGTTTAGCTTGTGTAATTTTTACCTATAGCAAAATAACGATTTTTCTTGGACACCGTTCAGTTTACAATCATTCTGAAACGGAGTATCGCACAAAACGACAATTTGAAGACCAACTCAAAATCTTTTTCAAATTATGAAAAAAAAATTAATAAAGTAAAACGCATTAAAAAGAACAATTTGATTTAAAACCCCACAAGATCATATGTACATACCATTCATACCTAATAAGTGGTAACTTTGATTATGACATGCCGCGTCCATTTAGATTAAACACACAGAGATTGATATTATGTTAATTTTATAGATTTTTCTCTCTCCGAAAAAAAAACAATAGACGTGCATATGAAGTATAAATTAGCAGTAACATTTGCATATATTATGCGTGCAAAGTTGAAAAGAAACTCAATGCATATAATCACTAACTTGCTAGAAATATTGAGATTCTAGATTCTTAAACTTATAGAAATATTTCTTGAAGGAGATAAATATAATTTAATCAATGAAGTGGTATATTTCTCAAAAAACTTATACCTGTATAAGTACATAAATGCATACACATGTGAACATACACACATAAATACATTTATTTTTAAATTTATTATAATCGTTGCCTTGTAAAAATTTGGTTATAGTATTTTATTATCAAATAATTTTAAAATATATGTATGTATGTAATTCACAAGTACGTTTTATTAAATAAATTTATTAATATAAAAGTTTCTCTTGAAACCGTCATTGTCGTTAGCATTATAATATACTTAAATAAACTATTGAAATAACCTAGTAGCATAATGATTCTTGTTATATTAAACAGATTCATATAAAATTTGCTTCTTCTATATGAATAGCGAACAAAACATACATACCAAAAAAATTTAACGGTAAAGAGATTAAGGAGTTTTTGATGAATTAGCTTTTACAAAAATGTAGGTTTTCTAATTTTTAGTTTTTATAAACCTAATTCGCGTCAATATTTATATTACATTATATTAATTTCTTATTTTTATACCTACCATTAAAATAAGGGAAACTTAAAAATAGTTCTGTATATTTGTCTTTCAATAAAAACAAGCCAAACCAAAAAATATATTTTTTTAATTTACGATTCGTAGTTACCACACCTGAAATGATATGTATAAAATTCCTCGAAAATTTATGTATGTATTAAAAAGGTTGTTTGTGTTATTTTTTGTTACCTATTTTTAAGAGTTAACATTTTGGATAGATTTTTTTCATCCGATATTTTTATTGTTTTTGTAAATATTTGCTCGCAGGTAATATAGTAAAATCACGATCACTTTCTTATATACATTCATACTACCTCTATACCTAAATAAAAAAGCTTAATGTTTAAAAATTTTTTAATTTTTTTTATGTACAAACTGTACTCAGAAAAAGTTACAATAAAATATACAATTAAAATCGATAAGAAAAGTGCATACTGTTAACACAGTGCATAGGAGCCAGCATTTAATACTGTGATAATAAGAATCTCAAGTTCACGTAATAGAGTACTGAATAATGACTAAAATAATGTTATTTGAATTTCAAGAAGTAACAGACGTAAAGTTAAAAGAAATGATGTAGCTATCAATTATTACGCTCGCATATGTATGTATATACCAGCCTTGCAAATGTGTGTTGGTGTTTTAATTTAATTAATCTGATATTAATTATTTTTCAATTATGTACATAATTTGTAAAATTTTCTTTAATTATAAAAGACACCTGCATTCAAGAACATTACAAAAATTGCACCAAAATTTAAAAATAAACTTTCTTTTTAATTCCAGTTAATCGAACTAATAAAAGATAATAAAAAACTTCAATATTGGACTATTTTTTCTTACTTGGTCAGAATATAAGTACAACCATGTGAACTTCATTAGAATAAATTTTGTGGGAATCATACACAATTTATTTTCTGTACCTGCAATAACAATAGCTGAATCATATTGTATTTTATGTAGATATACATACATACGTTATTTGCTAAATTTAAGAAACAATATGTATTTAAAACCTAAAATTTCAGAAAAATACACGCAAACACAAATTTTATGACTGCAGTTATATTTTAAATTACATAAATACAAATTTTACCTGAAATTTCTTATTGTTCGTAAGGAACTACAAGCTTTACCAATTACTACAATGTAACTATACATAAATATGGGCGACAAAGGCATACAAACATATTTATATACAAATTCTTTCTCAACGCTAAATCCTGAGTTGTTTTAGTTATTTGGTTATTTTTCATTTAAAAGCAGCCGAACGAAGAGAATCACACTTGAATATGAAAAAATTTTATACAAAGAAAAAAATAAATTTGTTCAAATAAAACCTAGTGCCCATAAAATTACTTTAGTATAAACTGGTACAGAGAATTCATTGAAATTTTACTCTATTATTCAAAGTGAATAATTTCTTTTACAAATGTTCAATACATAATGTCATTATGTAAAATTTTTTGTATTAATGGTTATTTACATTATATTATATGTATTTATGTTCACACAAATACATATATATGCATAAGTATGTAGGAATGTATAAATCTTTACACGTTTAAAATTGAAAAGCATAATAATATGTACAGGTGGGCTTAATTAAAACATGAAACACACATACAAAATATGTTTTGTATTGTTGCATTTATTATTCTGTGTTTCGCTCAACAATATACATACTTATTTAAAAGCAATAAAAAATAAACCAACGACAATGGAAACACATGTATTTTTTTCGCGTTTTGTGCTTTTTTTAAGCTAACTAATCGGTTTTTAACGACTATATAAAGTAACTCGAAGGTTCATCAAATATAAAATGTTATGAGTATTGAAATACATATGTACATATGTAATACATATGTATGTATTTCATTTTTTCGAAAAACATACATACATAAAAGAAATAAAGCTAAAAACAATCTAGCGTTTAATAAATTGGTTTAAAAGTATTTGATATAAAATTTTATTTTAAAGCACGGTACAGCATTTTACCTTTAGCATAACACAATCATGCATGTATACCTTTCTGGGCTTTCGTTACAATATGCATATTAGGTTATTTTTTTTTTTTCTAAAAAAAATTTTTTGTTCATTAGTGTTATACTGAAGAGGTTAGAGTACTTGCTTCACACTTACTATAATTAACATTTTTTAAAATACAAACATAATTTTTATGTCAATGATTGAGGCAAGAATATAGATCTGCAGAAATTCAAAGAATAAGTAGCACTTTTGGACATCAAAAATTTTTATTTACTTACTTTTAAGTACATTTTCAACAAAATTCTAAATAAATTTAGTTTTCATCCGTCCGTTCATCCTCGTGTAGTCCTCCTGAATTAAGAACATTAGTAAATAAAGTTGGGTCAAACCCAACTTTATTGGTGCTACAATAAAGTAAGTAAAAAGTGTATTGTAGCACTTTTCCCTTCAACAAATGAAAATACTGCTCCTAAAAATAATCTAGGTATACCTACTACACTATTAAAATTATTTTCATTCATATATGAAACTATTTCTAGGATTGCATATATTTAGGATGAACGATTTATGCAGTTTTTGAAATAAAGCAAAAATTAATTTAAAGAGGGGTTAACATAATGTTAAATTTTAAGCATTAATTGTGTGAGTTAAGAAAATAATACTGTATGTATGTATAAATATTCGTTTGTAAGAATTTTATTTTTCTGGGGTATGATCAAATTTTCTGAGGTACGGATAAACAATGTTTGAAGTTCTATGACAGTTACCGCAAGGAACGGAGCAATTTCAATGACCTTTCTCAAGCATAATAACCCTTAGAATATATGTATTTGCATTAAACTGCAATTCTGTATCTTAAATAGTTTTTGAGCCCACAAAAAGTCTTCTAATTTCAACGACTTTTACTATACGAGTATATGTATATTTTTGTGAAATTACAATACAATTTAAATAACTCTTGTGATATGACCACACCACATTTTAGTTGTATGGCTGAACCACTGCTGAAAATTAATAAGAAAACTCAACTATCAATTAGGCTAAGAACAACACAAACACGAAAGTTCACGGTTTACATTAAAGGCAGTACTTATACCCACTCTTTCACCATACACTCTAGTAATAGGGCACCTACATTCTGTAAACGTGATACAAGACTTAAAATGATTTTTTATCGCCTTTACATTAAAACTACCAGGAATATATTTGATGCGTGGAGATGTGATTTTTTTATCACATCAGACTAGATTAGCAACTTTGGTTACGAACATAAATATAGCAGTTTTTATTATTTATCGCGATATACTGCGCTTATGAAAATACCTAACCTTATGACTCAGCACAATACTACATAAAAACCTATCTCTATATAACAATCATAAGTAGCTGTTATTTGGGAATATGTATTATATTATTTTCAAAAAGTTTTACAAGTATTTTTAAAATTAAAGAATCACTTTACGAAAGGATCCAACAACAATAATTAATATACTTATACCTGCAAATAAAATCTTTGTTTAATGATAAGCCTTTTTGAACATGATAAATGCAACATGTATAGCACATAAAAATAACCAAGTGAAATGATAGAACTTCTAATATTTGCTAATCTTACAAAACTTTTAATTATAATTGCCAAATAAAATTTTTAAATTTAAAAGTTCTTAAACGAAAGTGAAAGACATCCTATTTTTATTACTGAAAGAATAAAATTCGAATTTAAACAAAATTTATATTTTTTTATGTATTTTTTCAATATATGTATATGTATTTATAGATAAATATTTTTATATATTTTTTAAATATTTAATTTCATTACAATTTTTCTTCATTAAATTTAATTTGTTCTATTGAATGCAGTTCTAAATGTTTTACTTTATTATAATATTTTTTTAATATTATATAATTATAAACTAATAAAAGCTTATAAGAATTCTATACACTTTGTACAAAACATAATAACATTCTACGGATCACAGAGAATTTAAAATTTTATTTTAACATTAATTTTTTCAATGTTTTTGTTCATCAAATGTTTTATTCTTTTTTGGATTTCAAAAATATATTTGGGTGTATGTACATGTTTTTTTTACTTTAATTCGTTCTAAAAGAAAAAAATGTTTTTCATGCATATAAATAATTCTACTTAACTTTTAAGTTTAGTTCCTTTATCAAAATGCTCAAATTTTAAAAATTAAAAGTCATAAAAGTATTAAATGGTTCATTGTAAAATAATTTCCATTCTATGAAATTTCTCAAATTTATTTGGTTTTTCTAAAATGCCTGAGTATAAGATACTTTTTAATACTGACAGCATTGTAAATTTTAAAATGCAAAAATTGCAATTAATTCAAATTTAATGTTAAACCAGGACAAAAATTTTTCTATAAGAATTTGCATAATTAAATTGATAATTCAAAAACTAAAAATTTTTCAAATTAGTTTTGCATTTTTTTATTTCTGTATGTAAAATTATCTGCCTTATGTTCTTTTTTATTTCTAGTATGACATAAAAGAAACATTTCAAACACAAGTTTATTCATTTGAATTCAAACAGTGAATTGCAATAAATATTGTTTGCAATAATTAAGAACATAACAAATATATTATGATGATTAAAGATTAATATAATTAAAACTATACTGCCATCTTATACGATTGCCATTTTTTTGTTAATAATATAGGATGCAATGTTAAAGTTCCATTGTAAATAAAATTTTGTCGTGAATAAGATTGATCAATTAAAAAAACATAATTTTAAAAAAATTTTAAAATTTTAATTTTTAAAATGTTTTTTCCAAAACAAGAAAAAGTTTTTGTATCCCTGTACATTATAATTTTTTTTACATTATAATGTGATATTTTAAATTTATTCATGTTTAAATGTTGGTTTGATTCAGTTTTCAACTATATAGTCAAATAAATGATAAATGTACATTAGTGTGTATATGTATATGTTTAATTAACGTATTAACTTTTGTTTTTTTTTGGAAATTTTTACACATGTAGTAATAAATTTTTAATTATGGTGATACCTTAATAAAAAGAAAACGATTACAATTACTGTTCTAACCAAAATTAAAAATAATCCTATTCGCAAACTTAAAATATTTACTACACTCAAGAAACTAGAAATAAAAAAAAAGTAACAAGTTTTTAATTTCAAGCAAATAAAAAAACATTGATATTTAACTCTGTAAATTTACAAAAATGTGTTAAATAATAATTGTTAAAATTTGCTTTGCAATATTTTTTTTTTTAATCTTCAATTTTTTAAAAAGTGTATAATTAAAAATATTATATTAATTATATCTATAAAATTTTTATACGAGGATTTCATTTTTGTATATTAGTCATGAAATTAGTATTTCATCGTAAACGAGATCTCTTATTCAAATATGCACAAGTAGGTCAAGCAGATTTATCAGCCATCTGAAAAGAGAAAAAAAGATATTTAATAAAATCAAATTTATTTTCATTATCACTATTTAAAATTTAAAGCCTTTATTTATTACTACAATTTTTTTGTACTATATGTTTTAAAAACCCATGCCAAAAGTTAAAAAGTTATGCTAGTGTGATTTGTAAAGTAATTTGTAAACTAAAATGTACAAGTAAATATTGGAAGAGAAATTAGTTTTTTATATTGTGACCTCTTAAAATTTTGATTTTTAGCTTAAATTAATAAAATTATACAAATAATTACAATGCATTAAATATCCTGGTTTAATTCAGGGGATAATTAAATTTTCCGAAAAATGGACAAACCTAATATTGAAGGACAAAAATGCTTTGTCTTTGCAAGAAAAGGAAATATTTATTAAAATTTTTTTTTCAGAATTTCATACTTTATGTAATCACATACTAAAATGAAAAAATTTTTTTTTGCACTATGCTGGACTGGATTATTATTATTGAATAGAGAAAAATATTCTAAAGGAGCGTTAGACCTAGAGCAAAAAAAAATTATTTCTGTTTTGAAAATAGCAAGTACTTATTTTACAAGGACTTTAAACTTGAAAGCATTGTTTACATACACTCTTACAATAAATAATAATTAGTACCCGTATCAATGTCGTTGTCAAAATTTCACTAGTATTGTTAAACATAAATACAAAAATAATTTGAGTAGTTTGACGGACTTGATTTTGCATTCTTTCAATCTATTTTTTAAGGATCTTTTTTTTTTAAATATTTTTTTTAATTTTAAATTTTTTCATATTGAAAATTTCTTTTTGTTATACGAGTATAAAAAATTTAATAAAATTTAAAATTGCATTTCCCGAAACTACGATTTTCAGATTTGGTTATTCAACTTTTCTTTTTCTGTTTTTAGAAAGAACCTGTACGAACTTCTTCTGCAGGAACACAAAATCGAAGGATGTGAGGTACAAATAGTTGTTCAAAACTTGTTTTGTAAAAGTTCATGATTCTGATGATAATGAAATTACTGCAGGTAAGATTGAGATTGCTTCTAAAAAAACTCTTTTTGATAAATTGCTATATTCTACTAACTCCAAGGGTTAAGTTATATGTTAAATTTTCTTCAGCAGTTTTCTTCAGACATAAGAAGACTGAGATTCTGAGATATAGACGTAAGTGTATTTTTTTGACCCACGTCGAATTCTCGGTCAATTTGACCATGTCTGTCCGTCTGTCCACATGTCCGCGCGCCCCAGCGATAACTCAAAAACTAATTAAGCTAAGTTCATCAAATTTTCACAAATGATTTATAGTAGTGTATAATCAAATACCGGAACCTTATTTAAATTAGATGTGATCGAGATACTGGTTCGGGTAGTTGCCATACAACTTCAAAAGTTATTTATTTGTTAAAAATTGTTGAAATCTCATGAGCACTTGTGAATAGCTGCCATACTACTCCAAAAGTTAATTGGGCACACCTCAGAAATTATTCAGCGCATAATTTTGAAAATTTTCACAAGTAAATATATTGTTAAGGCCGTTATGTTTGATAAAAGACATTGAAATTTCTCTTCTTCTACAATTTCGTAAAATATTTAAGCTAATCGTAAATTAAAAAAATGAAACAAAATACAATTTTATTTTGAAATCATTATTTTGATAGAATTTTTTTTTATTTTATAATGCGCATTGCATTTTTTAAACACAAAGTGTTACGCATTTCGAAACGCACGTAATATGTACACGTACAATACAATTTTGAAAATAGCAATTTCCTACACTAAAAAATCATCCCAAAAAAATTGTTTTTCAAAATAGAACGGAATACATTACAGTTGAACTCAATTGTGTAATACATATGTAGGAGATCGCCACAATTTTAACCTTTATTGATTATGTACTTTGATTATCACTTTTTTTAATGTCATAATACTATATTGCACATATTTAATTAATACCATATGCTAATTTTTTAATCAAATTTCCTACACTAAAAAGTGTATAAAAAAACAATCACCAACACAACATGTGTAAATAATATAAGTGGACTAAAACTATAAAAATATAATATGTTATATTGTACAACACTATATGAAAGATGGCAATATTTTATTGTTTTCTCTTTAAATTTACACCCCTTTATTTAATTAACCATATGGCTGAATGCATTTTTAATTTATGTAAGTAATAATAGCATTTATTATATTATTTGTACTAAACGAATTGAAATATCATAAAATATCAGTATGTGCAAATTTATAAAGTGTTGTTTTGAACAATCACATGCAACTGTTTTATTTCCAAAAAAATTAAAGGACTTTTTTTAAATGCTATATTAACTTTTCATTACTGTTATGCAATGTATAATTGCTGTTTCTAGTTTCGGTATAATTTTTCCAATTAGGGTACTTATAAAGTACATAGGTATACAGGTTTTATAATGTTGGAATAATAATTCTGCAAGCTGTCATTACTGTTGTTGGGTATCATTGTTGGAAAACAAGAAAGCATTTGAACCATAGTAATATAAAATAACTTGTACTCGGCAAGACACGTCAGTTTACCGTCAGCTTACCGACGAGCTGATGTATTTTCTATGGAAATTTGGATTTTTGACATTCACTTTATTTTTAGTACAAATTTTATTCTCTTTCTCAAAAAGTTGAATTAACTTCAACTTTAGTGCAGAGATTTTTTAGAAAGTCAAATTTACATATACGCAACTACCACAATTTCTTATTATTCTTTTCAAAAAGTAACAAATGAAACATAAAAAAAAACGCTCAGCTTTTTTCAGATGAGCCAATGAACCATAAAGAAAAAGAATAATTTGGCTTTAAAAAACTCAGTTTAAAACCGACAAACCAATGAATTCACGCTAATTATGGGAAAAATGATTTTCCATTTTTCAAATATAAGCCAAAATTTAAAACAATTGTACTGTACTAACATATTTTGTGTGATTTCAACTTTGGCAGAAACCTTTTAAGTAGAACCCAAACAAAATACATAGACGAATAATATACGAATAATACAAATGCATATTATAAAAGAACAACTTGTACTTAGAATTTCACATACACAAGTACATTTAGATATACGCTTAGGCTATTTAGATATAATTTTAAACATAACATAAAAATAGGTTTTTAAACATAAAAATAGGAATAGAGAATGGAGAATGGGAGAACGACATACAAGTAGGTATGATATGACATGCATGCATGCGTCTTCAAAAGTTAATTCTTTTATTTTTCTCTTTACTTGGCTGCCTTTCAAACTTAAGTACATAATAAATTTTATTTTACAAAAAGCGGTTAAAAATAAAACTTTATTTCTATAAACTATATACATTTATAAATATATTCATTAATGTATAATACACGTGCAAGAAAAAAATACGAAACAATGAAATACTTCATAAATATTTTATATTATTCATATATATTACGTCGCAGCTGTGCGCCATGTTTAACCTCGACATGGCAGTAGAAAAAAGAAAAAAAAGTACAATAAAAATTAGAAATAAGTATGCACTCGTAAGTATCGAAAAAAAAAGAATTGAATAAAAACAGGAAAAAAAACTTTATTCATCTCAATTTATATAATGTAGGTTTCCACAATCTTGCATCAAATGCTAGATAATGATATTTATGTATATGAATTTCATCAAAAACATTGTTTTTTGCTTTAACATGTAAAATCAGTTACATACATATACATATTTTAAATGTACAAACACATTTTAATTTAATAATAATATAATTATTAAAAACATCTATTCATTATTAGATGTGATTATTACGCGATTAACACTTAAACCTTGTACATGGGTATAAAATGTCCGAGCAAAATGTGTTTCTGTTATTTTTCTTCACAGTATATTATTTTCTTAAACATGTGTAAATTTTTGTATTATTATTTAAAATAAATAAGCAATATTCAATTTATTTTTTTGTGGGTTCTCTACCCAATAGACAAACATAATAAATTTTCTATAACAAATTTCGAAATTAAGAAGAATATACTTATACTTTTGGTTTTTGCATATTTAAGCCGCCATGTTTGCATTATGTATGAATTATAGATTTATTAATTACATAAGGTTAAAATTTTTATTATACATATATAGTGCTTCATAAAATTTTTGAACATCAACACATACAGACATGGTATATTAGTACATTACAGTAATTTTACAATGGAAATAAATATAAATGGGTAAATTTACACATATATATATTTACACACCCATGCATACATATCGGGTGCTTGTTAACTTGATTAACATTTTGCTGTTTTATTTATTCACACATGCATACATATCGGATATTTGTTAACTTCATTAATATTTTGTTGTTTTATTTTTTCACACATACATATATTTTGTTTCACATCTTTTTTTTTTAATAATTAACTCATATTTTTTGTTTCACATTTTTTTTTTAATAATTAACTCATTCAAAAATGAGAAAAAATAGAGTTGACAGTGTCAGTAAGAATAGAGTTGACTGTGATTTCAATATTTTCTGAGATATGGCCAAAGTACTATTGAAATTATTGTTGGGACGACCCGACGCACGAACATTCAGGCAGACAAAGCTAAATCGACTCAGAATTTCACGCTGATCAAAAATATACACTTGAGTCCGTACCTGAGACCATTATTTCAAATACAAATGGTAAGGCAAATTTAGTATACCTTTCGAACATACGTTCCTACGGGTATAAACATAATACTCATAGATGTATCCATACGAATGTATATATATATACATATGCATACATACATGCTTTCACTTCCCCTCTAACAAACGGATACGTATACGTATATGAATGTAAATATGCTAAAGTGAGTACATTTTTTTTTTTTTTCCTTCTTTACTCCTAGGAGGAGTATAGGGCTAGTGCATGATATCTATCATGCCCTAGTTTCTTATAGTCATAGAGAGTTAGCTAGGTAGGTGACTAGCCTACCGTAAAAGTGAGTACATAGCCAATCGAAATTGTCATAAGATACAAATAAGATCGTTAAGATGATAATAAAAGATCGTTGATATACGAATAAGATAACTGAGATGCTTATTGAACATTGTCTCTCCATTGTCCACCGGAAAAAAAATGGGCAAGTGGAACGAATTCTACGGAACGAATTGATGGCATTTCTTGAAATTTAGCATTTGAATTCTGGTTGTCACCAGAAGTTACTGACGAACTTTTCGTATAATTCGGACAGCACAAAACAACACTCTACTAAGAGCCAAATTCACATTTTTCTAGGTATGTTAACTAAAAGCTTATTAAAAATTAGTAAAGGGCTTCTTTACAATTTTAAGGACACTTAAAGTGTCTTAGATCTTCTAGAATAGTTTTACTAATCTAAACAATATACATTGTGGTCGGTTATGTGCTGACCACATCAAATTTTTTTTTTGTGTTCTCATCCGAAAGGTATGAACTGACTTCTCATCTGAAACACATACAAAAGAATAGTGTAGCTAAAACACAAAACGTTTGCACTTATTTCAGAGAATTGTGCAACTTTAAAATTCATTGGTTTAATCCAAATTGATTTCCTTATTAATTACCGAAAATTTTAAATACGCGCTGAGAAAGCACTTCGCGGTTTAAAAATTATTAAAATTTTATTTGGAAGTATATATAAATTAATGTGGTTAAATAACCTTGTTGAAACTTTTCAGTTTTTAATGAACCTTCAAATAAAAAATGAGCAACTCAAGAAAATAAAAACAGTAATTACAAAAAATATGAAAGAATTTTTTTAGTCTAAGTTGTTCAAATTGGGTTCCGTGAATGCAAAAGTTTCGAAGGACTTTTGAAAGTGCAACAGGTTTAAGGCGTTTTATCTAGTCTATAATAAATTTTCATTCAGCCATTAACTTTAAATCAAAATTTAACTTTTACTAAAATAGAAAGAAACAACGTGATTTTGAAATTGTATGTATTTATCTTGCGAATGAACAAATTACATACATATAAGTAATTGCTTGTTAGATATCTGAATTTCTACACAAACATACACATACAGATAAAGAATGATTAATATCTAATGATTTTCTGCTCTTAATGTTGATGATGACGTGATTTCGAAATATTTTTGCAGGTGTTCACAAAAAGAAAATTATACAAAAAAAAGAAATAAAACCATAACGAAATGACAACACAGCAACAACAGAAATTAAAAACAAAAAAAAAAAAAAACAATACAATAAATAACCATGAAAAAGTTCACCTCCCTCATTTCAAAATGGAAAAAATGACGAACTAAAAATCGCCGTTTTTTTTTGTGTTTTTTTTAGTTTAATATTTTCATTATGTTGTTGATGAATAATATTAATTGTTGTTATTTTTGGTTTTTCGGTTAGCTGCGTTTTCACCTGAGAAGAAATTTATTTTATTTTTAATATAAATTCGTACATTGATTCGTAATTTACAAAAGACAACCCGAACAAATTTTTTTTTTTACTTTTTTGAAGCTTTTTTTTTAATTATGAACCAAAATCTAAAAATTAAACTATGTCTATGTATCTGTATCGAAGTCAATAACAGCGTGTTGGTAAAATTTTAAATAATTCTTCGTCGTTTCTGCCACTCAACTTTGTTGTTTTTCCCACTCAAATCTTGTTTTTGAAAATGAAAATGCTTGAAAATTACAGAATTTCTTTTGGTTAAGTATTGCGATACTTTACTTTTGTATAAAATACAAATAATAAAAGTCCAGCTGAGCTGCTTCAATAATTTATTAACAATAGAAATTAAAAAAAAAAAACACGAAATCGAAAAAAACATGCTGCGAGCCTATAATTAAACCTGAACATTACAAAAAATGTAAATACATATGTATGTATGTATACAAAAATTTCGATAACAAAAAATTCCACAAATAAAATACTTTAAATGTAGTAAAAAAAGATAAAAAACAGTACAACTATTTACATTTAAATGTGAAAAAAGTTTTGAAAACAATTTCGGAGCTTCAAAAAGATTTAAAAACAAAAAAAACTGGAAACTTTCCTAATTCATTAGGTATTTTGTTTAAAAATTTGATAAAAAACAGATTTCCTTTCGAATTTTGTTTTGTTTAAATACATATATATGTATGTATATGAATATGTATTAGAACATACAATAATAGCACTATACAAAATTTATTTTTTTACTGTGCTTCATTTTAAGCACATCAATTAAATTCACTTAAAAAATTATTGCGCTTTCGACAGGCGGCAATATTTGAAGAACACGAGATTTTTTTAGATGTAGTCACAGTATTTTTTTAATTTCACGATTACTAAATCCGATTCGCAAATTTATTTTCGTGTTGAATTAAAATATTCATGTTTACTCAACACAAAAATAAATTTGTCATGATTTCTAAACTCGACCAAATTATTGCGTTGCTGAATTTTGCTGTTAAAGATTTCATTAATGCCATCATATAAGAAACAAAGTGAGAAACAGCAATTCTAATCAATTGGAAATTGTTTTAAACCTAATTGGACGTAAATTGAAATTGGAAATATGGAACTCGTAAGATTAAGGTTATGGAACTCGTAAAATTCGAGGTTATTTCCCTAACATAATATAATCCGTTTCTGTTGACAACCGCATAGCACTCAATAATAAGAAAAAACATTTAATGCGTTTTTACATATACACAATAGTTCTTCTACAACAAAAAACGAATATGTTCAAACATTTGAAAATCTTTAGGTTGAGAAATTATTTGATTCTATCTAAACACAGCATCAGTTACTAACTTTTAAATAAGTGCTTTCACAACGGCAGAGTGAAAATAAAATAACATATATGTATGTACATGTACATACATATGCACTTTTGTCGAAAAACGCAATATTGATAAAGAATTTCATTTTATACATACATATATAACTGTATACATACATACATACATATATACGTATAGGAATCTCACTTAACTGATCTGCAAATATTTTTGACATAGGTACAATGATTTTTGGAATTTTGCATAGCTATAAACGCCTTGTATAAAATAACGGTTTCTAGCTCGAAAATAAGATAATAACTGCTAATAATTATTGTTGAAAAATGTTTTTAAAGTTTTTTATTGAATCAAATCTATTAAATAATTAATTGATAAAATTTGTTAAAAGAAAATCCTTAATAAATTTACCGTATGCGAGTGTATTAATTGTTGATTATTTATTAAATTTTGTTGATGGATCTCACTATCACTTAATATTGTATTTGGTGATGATCTATCAACTAATGGTCTTCTAACTAGATATTGATACTGTGAGTTCTGATGTAAATGATGATTATGACTAGTTGAAGAATTAATATTATAAGTGTTGTTACTAGTATTGTATATATTGCTATTACTATTATTATTATTATAATGATTATTTATATTATTATTATTATTTCTTTCATTAATATTAATATTATTATAATGATGATTATCATTTGAATCATCACTTAATGCTGTTGATGCATCAAATGCACTCATTGTAGGATGAGTTTCTAATTCATTTTGTAAATCACATATATAATCGATAACATTTTGTATTATTTCCAATTTCGATAATTTACGGTTTTTTGGCATAAATGGTACCAAATCTTTTAATTTTGATAAATACATTTTTATTTCAGCATTTTCACCACTACCATGATCACTTTGACGACGTGATATGCGTCCATTTGTGACACCAGAACCACCAGTTGTTATTGCAGTTATAGTTTTCATATCTAATTTATTTCAGTTGAAAGTTTTTATTGATAATTATTGTATTTTATAAAACAATTTTTTTAAATTATTTATTTTGTATAAATCTTTTAATTTTTTTTAATAAACACAAATAGGCATTTTTCCTTTTTTGAAACTTTTAAATTTTGCTTTTGGTTAAATCTATTTTAAATACAATAGTTATCCTTTTTTTAATTTAGAATTTGTTCACAAATATATATACGTATATGTGTACTTTTAATATTATCTTTAAAGTAATCCTTTCTTCTCTATCGGGATCGATTTATCTTTTTATAAATAAATTCTAAAAAACATTAACTTAATTATCATGCACAAATATTTTATAGTTTTCCTTTTTCCGTCCGATTTTTCTTTTTTTTTTATTTAATTTTTTATTTCCTAAGCATGCAATTATGAACTTAACCGTATGAAATACCCGTTTGAAATGAAACTATATTTTCCCCCATCACACCTATTTATACTACAATTATGGACTCCGCCTCATAACCAATCGAATTGGAATATCTTAGAGATATTTCCCCTTAAAATGGCTCGTTAAATTTCGTTTATTTTATTTTTTTATACTAACGAAGTTGAAAACGAGACATGCCGAACTTTTTTTCGTTGGTAAACAATTGTAGAAAATTTATTATAAAACAAAAACAAAATATTGTTGAGATAACTTGGAGTTCTTTGATATGAAATGGAATTTACATTTTTATTTACATTCTGCTTTAAATTTTTGTGTTTCTGTAGCTGTTTTTGTGTTTTTTTATTTTTGGTTTTTTCTTTTTTGTACAATTATTTGTATATTGTTTTCTTACTTATGCTTTGCTTTGATTTTTCTTTGATAAAAGCAACATTAGTTTAGCATTATAGCATATGCATCCGTATATACAAACATACGTACATATATGCATATACATAAGTATTTTTGAATGAATTTTTATTAAGTCTTTAGTCTGGCGCTATGTGAATACAATATTATATTTGTATCGGACAGCCAATTTACATTTACTAAGGTGAAGAAGATGAAACATTTAAAAAAAGGAAAATAAAGTGAAAATTTATAACGAAGAAAATATATAAAAAATTTTCTAGATAATAAAAATATATTATATATTATTGTACATATTAATGTATATATTTTATACTTATATATTTTTGTATTTATTTACATACATATTTATGTATATGTATGTATAGATGTGTTTGCACATATTTACGTATGTATGTACATACTTAACTTTATGAGAAAAGCATTATTAGGTGATTAAACGCCTTTTTAAGAAAAGAGTTAATTTTCTTAAGTAAGACTTAATGTAGGAATATACATGCATACTCATTTGTAAACAGGTGATGAATTTTTCTAAAATAAAAACATGTAACGCGAAATTTAATTCCAAAATTTTGCTATAAAAATAACGCCTGATTCTTAATGTATTCACATTCAAACTATTGATTATCACGATTCAGTGATAATCAATAGTTTGAATGTGACAATACTGACCTCGAGAATGATCTAGTTTTTTTTTCTTGAAAATGCACCAATTTTACTAATTCAGAAATCGTTAAGGCTAAACTGTGCTTCATTGTTTAGTAAAATTTTCAAGCTGATCTATTATTTTTACGAGTACAACGAGTTTTCACTCTTTGAAGGTAGTTTTATTGTTAAAAAAACAAAATAAGCGAAAGTTATGTAAATTTATCAAAACTGACAACAGGATGATGATTTTATTATAATGGGAAAATCCAAACTCTGACAAATCATAGAACAAAATTTTAGTTATATAAAAGCCAAGTAAATTTCAATATTAAGACCTGAAAAAAATATGCTAAAATATTAATATTATTTGAATATTAATTATTATTCTACCTGGCCATTGGTTTTTTAATGAAATTTTTCTTTTTTTAATGAAATGATTTGGATAGTTTTATGTCTAAACATTTTTATATCATAAAATATCTACATACACAATATACATACCAAGCAAAGTATATCTACTAATAAGTAGTTCGACTCTCCGTTTACATCACACTAATGCAATCACTCACCAATATTTGTATACAAAAAATTCCTTTAGTTAAAAGAGTTAAGCAGTACACCATCTTATTTTCATTTTTATACACAAGCATTTTTGGGAGAGGGAAAGAGTACGCAATAGATGTCTACCTGTTTTTTTATAATGTATTTTTAAAAGCGGGAGTTATTTATTTTTCCGTATATAAAGTATAGGAAAAAATATTAAGAATTTTAAAGGCGGGAGTTTTGTTTTTGTAACTTATCCCAGTACAAGGGGGCAAAAAAGGTGTATTCATATTAAAAAAGCGAAGCGGAAAAAAAGTGTTTGAAAAAAATTATTATAATTTATATAATATTATTTTGAAATATAATAAAAATAAATTTTAAAAAGACGTATAATATTAAAAAAAATTAAATAGTTTCTGAAAAAAAAACATTTTTCAGTTTTTTATAAACCATCCAAGAATTTCATGGATAATTTAAAGAATTTAGAAAACACTTTTATTAAACTTTTTAATGATATTTGTACAGAAAAAAATTTAGAATGTAAAACATATGAACACTCAAAAAATAATTTCAACTATGAATGTTGTCAGAAGTCCGACAAAACATATTTCATTAAACTGTGAATTAGAATTAGAATTTACCACATAATAAAAAGTTTTAATAAAACTATAAAACAATTTGATATAAAACAAAAAATTTTTAGTGTTAAGCATTTGTAATAAATAATTATTAATAAATAAAATAAATAAATTATCTTTAAATTTTTTATTTTTATTTCAATCTTAATAAATTTAGAACATGAATCGGTAATAATTATATTTCATAAAGTACTAATCAGTACGCATACACCTTTTTTTTCTTTACAAATTACTTTATTTCTATGTCACTAACTGATACTGATCAGACTGTGTATCTACTGTACCAGGTACATGCATGTGTACATTCATACATGAAATTTCAAACTCTTTTGCTTTCATACATTCGAATTTTTCATCTAACTTTAGCAAAATGAAAAATAAATTTTGTTATTATCAAAATAAAAATAACAAAATTTTTACCTAACTTAATTTAATTTTATTTCAGTTCAATGTTTTTGATACACTCGTTTGTTTACAATATTTTTTGTGCCTTTCTTGCCTACACAACTCTTATTACCATCTATTTCTAAAAAAAATGGAATATTTTAAGAATTTGGAAGCAAGATGCAAACGAAAATTAACGAATTGGAACGAGTCGAATTACTTATTAATAGATATACTTTGATATCAAGAACCTGCTTGTGGAAAATACTCCCAAAGCTATTACAATGCAATAGAATAATATGTATGTATGTATATATATATTCAAAAAAAGTATTTCTACCTGTAAGTTCTTGATTTTACATATATTTCTTATGTATATATTCGCATAAGAAAGACATAGTTAATTTTTTTAAATTCCAAAAACTATGATAATACTTATTTACAATTTCATTTTTATTTACAAACTGTTGTTATTAAGTGTTTTTTTTTTCGTTCTTTCATTTGCATAAATAAAAAGTATTTAGTATTTGAAATAAAATAAATAAAATATAATGACAAATATTTCATGTTATTGTTCCGTGTATACAAATTGTATGCTCATGGTATCCCTATTGAATGATTTAACTTTTTATACACATACACATTTACATACATTTTCTTTTAATTTATATAAATTTTTTAAAAAAGAAATCAAAATTAAATGTGAAATAAAAATTAATTTCAAGGGAGCGGAGCCGAAAATGTTATATAAAATTGATTGGGGTGGACTGGGGAAAGAAAAGGGGGCTTAGATGTACTTTATTGTACATATGAATTTCGATTTTATTAAGTTTTAACATGACGTTTTTATTTATAAATTTTTGAATGATATTAACTATATCAACATGCATACAAAGATACCTACATATGTATATATAATTATACTCAAGTACGTGTAGTTAAAGCGTTTTATTATTCAAATAAAAGGCCACAAAAAATAAAAAAAATCGCGAGTAACATTAATGGCGTAATGTTTATTATTGTGTAATATAGTAATACTCTACGTATACATTATCTATATGTATGTACATCTTCAAATAATGTTGTATTTATTGCATTATAGGTACTACTCGTATATAAAGCTTAAAATATGAAGAACTAAAGAGAAATTAATTTTTTTCTTAATATAAGAATATATACATATGGATGTGTGTAAAAAACATATACCTAATATTTACGAGAATATACATATATGTATATAGAAGATAAATTTGTATGGCGTATATACGAGTATCTTTAATAAAATTAGAGTTTCTTAATTTTGTATTTAGTCTAGTACATTGCAGGAACTACAAACGTACAAATACAGTTTATACTGTATATTATACTATTTGTGTTATATGTATTTATAACAAATACAATCTAAAAAAAAAAATTCCGTTATTTTAGTTTTGTTTTATTAAGTTTTATTTTGTCAATTTTATTTATTTTAATTGTAGAAATTTAAAAGTAGGGCTTTTACTGTACAATTATATTTGTGTTTTAATGCAATATAGTAATTTGACCATATAGTGCATGCATGTACATATATGTATATATTGTGTAGAGTGGAAAAATTAATCATTATTTAAAATCAATGAAATCTTTTGGAAAATTAAGTAAAATAAGAAATGTGTTAAAAAATTTTTATATGCAAATGCTCAACCTAAGTTTCCTACTAAGATTCATATTTGAGCATTTGCAATTATTGTCATCAAAAGTGTCGAAGTCAATCTTTCTGAGTAAAGAAAATTTACTAATTAGATTAGATTAGATTTAACTATTCAATCCTTCTTCAATTTATGGTCTCCGAAACTTATTAATCTCTGACGTTTTCAAATCAAAATCTATCTGGCAAAATTAACTTCCTGTAACTTTGAACTTGTTAAGCAGTGACCGTTAATTATATATTAAAGTTCTACTCATTAGCGTCTATATGGTGGTATATAGCAGTGCACCTAGAAAAGATACTCTTTGCAGACTAAATTTTTATGAAACTTCATGATTCACGAAAAAAAATTTATGCAACGTGTAGCGCATTAAAAGTGTTTTATAGATATCCTTTGAATGTCACTATATACATATTGAGGTCGTTATGTACATTATTTGTTCAAATTTTAATCTAATTATTAACATAAAATTACGTAAATATATCCCTATAAATTGGCATCACGTTGACATTAATAAAATTAACTTAATTTCCTTAGACCGAAAGTACGATAAAAAAAATTGGTTTCTTTCGAAATAAAGGTTTAAAGCCGAAATATGTTGATTTGTTGTATAATTTCATACACAAGGTGATCCAGTAATGATTACAATATTATATACCAGCGTTTAGATTATCAGAAATGGGTAAATTTTGTCTCGAAATTCTGTGTCAATGCTCAATTTTTTTCAAAACTTAGAAATGATCTCAAACATTTCATATTATCATTTATTTTTAATTTAACGATTTACAATATTTTTCGCTATAATCTGATTATTTATCAGAAGCTATAAAATATAGAAAGAATGTAAAAAAAACTTTTTAAAAGAAAAAAAAATCAAACTTCCACTAAAATAAATAGTTAATAAATGGCATTTTTAGGATTTTGGGGGAAAATATAGAAAGAATGTAAAAAAAACTTTTAAAAAGAAAAAAAAATCAAACTTCCACTAAAATAAATAGTTAATAAATGGCATTTTTAGGATTTTGGGGGAGTGCAACTTTTAGAGAGAGGGAGATAAGTAAAAATTTTGTTGTTCGAAAATTAGTTTCTAGCAAAGATATATGTACATATAAAATTTCAGCTTTCTATTCTAGGGTGTAGAAGTTTCGTAAATAAATACACGGACAGCCGGACAGACAGAGTGAGACTAATACGCACCTTTTTTAAAAATCTTTTGGAAAAGTGCTAGGTACAATTCCAATGATTTTATACAACTCTTTTACTAAACTTATAAAATGACGTAAAAAGCTACCGAAAATTCACTTTCAAAGAAGTTAGTGTAATATATTATTAAAGTTAGTATAATTTTGCGAAAGTACTTTTTTAAAGTTTTAGTGCGCAGAAGTTATAACAAAAACTTTTTGTTTGAAAGAATGCGGTAACTATTTGTATAAACATACATATGTGAATACATATTTTGTAAAAGATATTTCTAAATAGGTACATAAGTATAAAAGAAATATTTATGTTCCTAAATATGATTACAAAGGCCTATGAATACATATCAAATAATATAACGTAGAAACTTAATATACTTAGGTATAATAAATTTTCATTTTTGTTTTTCTAAATAATATTGAAACCATAAATTTATAATTGCTTCAATATTGTTACATATGCATGTGTAAAAGGAATTGCCATGCCCCATATACATACTTATATCATTGTTTATATTTAGCAAATAATTATTAAATTTATTTATGTTTTGAAATGTTGGCGATAATTAATATTAATTTTAATATTATTAATAAATAATAGCAAATAACCGGATTCATTCCAATTAATACTACAAAAACAGTTGTTCCTTACAAGTTCTTTAATAGTACATCAGCGACATCTATGGTTAGGTCATAAAGCTTAAATGCATATATTAGTCGTTTATACATCTTGCAGAAGTTAATCAAGTACAAACAGAATGTAGGTATTTATAATACCGAAAAATTTTATTTACACAATACAAAATTATCTCTAGAAAAGCTATCACATTTTGTTAATAAAATAAGCACAGAAAAAAAAAGATAAAATGAAAACATAGCGTCAGTGTATACATAATTGTGAAGTTTTTTCGTCTCAACAAGATTTCAGCATCTTTTTTGTCTTTGTTATATTTTACATGATACTGCACGTGCGTAGAAATTATGGAAGATTTACTCTTGTTTTCTCCTAGTAAAGTATTGTTTTCTTTTAGTAAGGTATTGTTTTCCATTAATTAATAATATTCAAATTATAAAATTTAAATCTTGTGCAACGCTTACAAAATTCGAAAAAGTTGATATACATACATTTATATTATATATATAATATATACATGCATATATTTATGTATATATCGCAACTACACATTTTCATTTATATAACGGAAAAATATACTCCACGGAAACATTTTTAAGGATTACTTTTTTTTCATAATTCAGAATACACTTTTAATATTAAAACATTTTAGAACCTTTCAAAAACTCAAATATTCATTTAAACACAATTTTCTCATAGCGCTAGAGAAGCTTTAACTTTTTAGTTTGGTGAGAAAAAAAAAACCTGTTCAAAATCGAATTTTTTTTTTTGCCACCACTGTAAGTACAACTAAATTTTAGTTCCGCAGCAGCGCAAACTAAACTGCAATACACCCAAAGAAATTCTCTCGTGTTTTTTTCTCTCGCCTCATTTTCTATTTTGATTTTAATTTTTACAACTACCATTAAAAACCGCTTTATTACTCTTACATTTTTATTGAATTTAGACTTTTTTTGTTATTTTTATTTTACAATTTTTAGTTTTATTAAATTGCTCACTTTTTTTACCCACTCCAAATTTGAAAACTTCTTAAAATTTATGAAAAAATAAAAATTTGTATTTTTAAATCATATTAACATTTTCTATTTTTGAAATTCTATAAATCATTGATAAAACATTATTTTTTTCTTATGATTAAAATGATATGAATGCTTAATTTAATAATTGAAGACAGGAAAAAAACATACATACTGATTTAGTATACTAAAAATTTACAACTACATTGCCCAATCAAAACAAAAAAATATGTGAGCAGATAAAGGTTTTCCTGTGCATACATGCATACTTACTTGTATCTGACAACTAATTGTCATTTTAAGACTGCGAGATATTATTATGGTGGAAAGGTACTCAAAATATATGTATATATATGTAAATGTCAATTACCTATTTGATTGTATAGTGTTTTATTTGAGTAATTCTATTGTAAAAATATAGCTTGGTATTTGAAGTACTTGTATGTAGTATTTTTACATATATTATTTTTATACAAATATAAATGCATTACGCTCTGAGTTTTAACTGAGAAAATATAAAAACACATGTGTTTGACAGATGATAACTTTCATATTGTTATTTTTTCCTTTTCTTTTCTTTTCTTTATAAGTTTGTATTTTAACAACAAGATTTTTAAAGATTTCCTTGCATAGGATATAATTTTTTCTCAACTTCAAATTTATGACTTTTTCAATTAACCATAAATACACATTTTAGAATAATTTGTAGATAAATGGGAAATATCTTCTTTTACTAAGCCATAAGTACATTAATTTAAAAAACAATTTAAGCTTTGTTGTTGTCATTATTAACATTTTTAAATTAATCAAATATATGTACATATATGTATATACATACATAAAACCAGCATTTATTTGGCATACACAAATTTAAAACACAAATATGTATATATTATAATATTATAAAATTTATATATTATTACCTGATTTGACACAAAATTCTTACAAATATGCATTAATCTATACAACATTTAGTTTACCGTAGCGCTACTAATTTAATTATTTTAACCTTGCAGTGAAGATACAAGATTTTTATTCTGTTTTTTCTATGTAAAATATTAATTAAAATATCCTTTCATTCACAATATTACCTATATAATGTACATATACACATTATGTATATTAATTTATATATATATTTTTTTGTAAAATGAAATATCAATCTACATACATGCATATATAATTATAAACAAAACACAATTAAAGCTTTTCAAAAAAAATTATAATTTCAAAAACAAAAGTTAAAAAAATTAGCATGTATGTATGTATATTCAAAAATTTCCCAATAAAACTGACATATTACACATTTATAAAAAATTCTCTTTTTTTAAGTTTTAAATTTTCTTAATTTTTTATTGACTGCCTGAAATATATATATTACCCGCTGAAACACAGGAAACAAGTTAATTTGTATTTTTTTTCATTACTTATTCACACATCGTTCAATTTATTTTTTTATTAAAAAGTTCGCTTACTTTATTAATATGGCCGTCTGTAAAAGTAAAGTACTTGTACAAAGAATTATCATTATCAACTTTAATTTAACGAATAGCTAAAAAAACAAGATTAAAATATAAAAAATTTAAATGAACAGGGACGCAGCCGAAAGTATTTAATAATGTTATTGACAAAATAAATGCTAAAATAAGGAAAAAACAATTTATTGTAATAAATAGTTAGGCTCAATAATGATGATATTCTGGTACTGATAATTTAATTGTTTTATTTATGGTATTAATAATATCAAAATATTTTCTTCGTTCTAATATTGTATATTTTTTTATTTCTAAAAACTATTATTTCTTCTTTGCTAGAATAAAATTTAAAACAAATATATGATTTTCTTTTTATTAAAAATAGTGGAAGAAAGAAATATAAAAACTGTTTATTAAACATAATTTCTATCTTTTTTATTTTCATTAATGAAAATATTATTTTGACAAATTTTATCTTTGGTTACAAATACAAATACAATACAATATTTTTGAGCTTTGAAGATACCAAGGTATACTTATTTAGATATAAAGAATTTTTAAAATTTTTATCTCACTCTACAATAATATCTGACTTATATTCTAAATTTCTACATAACATTTTTGTTCTTATAATAACAAAAGTAAAAATTAATAATAATTATAATAATAATAATTAATAATAAAAAAAAGAGTATTCTTTTGTCAATATCAATAATTGCTTATAGAGAGTATTTATACTAATATGGCTTAAATCGGTTGTATCCTCCTCGATACATAGCTGTCGTATATCCAGGAATTGGTCCTATACCATGCCCCAGATAAGGGTCTATATATTCCCTACCATAACCTGGTACAGCTGCAATACCAGCACTTGCTACTGGTTGAGTTGCTGCAGCAGCACCATATGCAGCTAATGCTGCAACGTCTGTATATGTTGCGGCAGCAGCGGCTGCTGCAGCCGCCGTATGTGCGTGTTGAGTTTCTTGTTGACCTGCTGTCGTAATTGGCGTTTTTAATAAAGGTGCAGTTGTTGTTAAAATATTCGGTGGAAGCTGATGATGAAAACGTGTGACTGGATTACTACTTAATGTTGCTACGGCGGCACGAGGTTGAAAACGTAAATTCGGATCGGCTGTTGCTGCTGCGGCTGCTAAAAATGGATCATAATAAAATCTGGGAGTCGTATATCCAAGTAAAGCTGCGTTAGCTGCATTAGTAACAGCACCTAATGGTGCAGGAAGACGTACAAATGATGCTACAGGTATTACAGGCCTTCTTTGTATAACTACACCACGTAGAGCCGCAGCTGTTGGCACAATTGGAGTCTTCTTTATTGTTTGAACTCGAACGGTTGCATTATTTACTTCAATTTTTCTACCTTCAATCACAGTCCCATGAAGACGTTCTCGAGCTCTTTCGGCATCGCTGCTATTAGCAAATGTTACAAAACCAAAACCTTTACTACCTCGTTCATTAAAAATAATTTCAACATCTAATATAGAACCAAATTGTCCAAATAATGCTCTTAAATCAGGATCTCGAAATCTGAATGGAATATTTGAAACATGCAATCGCTTTGGTTGATTTTTTTGATCATTCCCTGTTAAACCTGACACTCCTGTTACACCAGTGACTCCCGTCACTCCAGCTACACCAGTAACACCCGTTACTCCTGTCACACCAGTTACTCCTGTTACACCAGTTACTCCTGTCGCTCCTGTTACTGCTGCTACTGCAACTGCTTGCTGTGCTGCTGCGGAAGCTAATGATGTTGTTAGTGATGTTACTGCTGATGATTGCGCGGTTGTAGCGTCTGATAACATTCTGCTACTAACACTGCTTAAACTTTGTACACCATTCAAACCATGAGAATAACACTTGTGGTGACGTCTTTCCAGAGATATTAAATTTGATAGATTTATTAATATATTATTTTTTTCCTTAATTTTTACTATTTAATGAAATCGACTACAATTTCAATGCTGGACAGCTCCCTGCTGCAGTTGTTGTTGCCAATTAAGTAGATATCTTAGTATAGTATTTGTGCTCATACTTCCCGCATTCGCCAAAGACGAAAAATATACTAACACTGTTGAGATTTTTTAATTCAAATTGCTTCTGATTACTATGCCAAACATATACAGTTTAATAATAATAATAATAATAATAATAATACTGTTAAAGTTTATATTGTGCTCTCTGATCTTTGTCTCTCTGCTTTTCTCTTTGTATTTTATTTTACCAACACAATTAAAGTTACACAAACAGTACCTGTATAATATATGACTATACTGTTTTGAGTATTGAATGGAACTGAGGATGTATACTTAATTTTCTTCTTCTTATGTACATAAATAAAATGTGCGATGCTGAATTTCATGAAGGCTGTACGCCATCTGGGTTCATCAATTTTAATATGTCTTATGCGTAGACACTGTTTCTGATGATGATAAATAATCCAGCCAAAAAATTTTAATTCAAATGATTAACCAATAAATTGTGGGTGCTTCAATATTTGTTTTATATCTTTATAATATTTCGTATTTCTTTTTAGCAATAATATGCACACATATATAAAAAATTATCAAAAATTGAAAAAGAGGCAAATAAAAACACATACATATATTAAAATTTTTTTCAAAATCTTCACAAAAAGTATTTTATATATACCTCTCTCTACCCACTGCGCTAAAAACTGGTGCTCCATGGAAAGGGTAAATGGAAAAAAAAGATTCCTTCAGATTCCAATCTTTTAACGAAGATAAAAACGCAAATTTCAAATATAATAAAGCATAAAAATACTTAGCACAATACACAATATTTGAATATTTTGTAAAGCAATTATTTTAATATTAAATTTATATTATTTGACCGGCTTTTAATTTTTATTTAATTTATTTTTACTTTCATGTTCTCACTGAGGAACATCAAATGTACGAAAAAGCACAAAAGTTCACAAAACATAAAAGTATCTGTAATACCAATGAGTAAACTCAACTAAACAAAATAAAAAATTTTTTTTTGTACACTAAAGGACAAGAAAATTGTTGCGATTCTAAAAATAAAAATTTTTGTCGTAGATGTTTTGAAATATTTATAAGTAGATACAAATATTACATATATTAATTTTATACATATCAATAAACCAATAATAACTGAAAATTTATTATTTATATGAAATTAATAAATTTTTAGGAATTTATGCCGCTTGAGATACAAAATTAAATTTTTTAAATTTATAATATTTTTATAGTGGAAATTTTTGGAAAGTGGAGGATATTAAAAAAAGATTTTAAATATAGAACATCATAAATATATTTTGGAAATGTTTGATCACTGAAATGTTTGAAAAACCTTGCGAGAAATTTAATAAATTGATAAATATTTATGGATTAAAATTGTTTTATTAAATTGTATAAAATCATATTATGTAATTAAAAATTAAAAATTTTTCATATAATTTTTATTTCGAATATTTTAAATGTAGTTGTTAAATTGATAAATTAAATTTTAAAGAATTTCAAATTAGACAAAGAATAAGAAATCCAAACGAATATTCAAATATTATTAAAGTTATTATGCACATTATTTAATTATATCAAAATAAAACATGGAAATCATCGTAATTAACAGTTCCCATATCTTTCGGATTATAAACCATGTTTGAGACAAATTCTTATATTAAACAATAAATATTATGCATGAATAAATAAATTTTCCTTATTAAATTGAATATTGTACTCGTAGATATTTAAACCAAATTAAAATTACGCAATTCAAATGAGACACTATTCATAAAACATAAATGAATGAAGGAAAGTTAAAGCCGATTATTCTAAAGAAGAAAACACTTTTTGGACGTTTATAAAATAAAATTACTATCTTAAACGGAAGTGAAACCCCTTTGAAAAAATTTAAATTCTAAGTAATTGGACAAGCACTGCGAGAAAAAAGGAAGAAAAACTTACAACATTTTATAATAATTGCAACTTTTTTTGCTCTTTTTCCCAAACTTTTCTCTTCTATGGTTACTATTTGCTTTTTTATGCTGTTAAGGATATCATTCAAACATTTAAACTTAAAAAAAGGTTTAAGGATAATTTGAAAGAATTTACACGCAAAATCCAAATGAAGCTTTGTTTATTCTCTCCCAAGGTATTATTACTATAAGAGATAAAACATTTTGACACATGCACAAATGTCGCACATACATATATAATGTTTTTCTTTTTACATTATGTGTACATAATTATGAATATTTGACTTACAGAGTTTTTGAAACAATTACCGTAAAATTGTAAAAGCTTCCATACAAATATTTAGTTTTTTTGTTGTTAACAAATTTTTATATGTATGTAGGTGAAATTGTTTTTAAATATCTTTTCATTAGTACAAGGATATGTATGAAAAAGAAACATACTGTCAGGCTATTACACGTTACCTAAAATCTGCACAAATCGGATCAATTTTAGCTTTAATTTTATTTTTATAGAGAAATAAATCATTGAGATTTGCAAAATGAGATAAAAATAAGTTATAAAAAATTTTTCTCTTTTCTATGGTAAAATTTGTTACACAATGTATTTTATTATAAATTAAAATTATTTTGTTAAATAACATTTCAAAAGCAAAAAAAGAACAAAACGAAACACGAAACATAATTGTTTTCCCATTAAAATTTTCTATAAATGCTTTTTACTAACTAAAAAACATACAGTTTGCCAAAATTTAAAGACAAAGTAATCTGAAATTTGTTAAAAATTAAATATTTGTTTTTTATAGGAAATGCTGAATTTTTTTATAGTGCAAGCTTAAGAAACCTAGTTTAATTCTAAATTTACTAATTGCACAAATAATACGCCAGAACCTATAGCTAAATCAACTGATAAAACATAATCAATGCATCGCTTGGCTCTTTTTGGTAACTGCCATATAACTTGAAAAATTATTTGGATAATCTTAATTATTCGTTTTTGAGATAAGTTGTTGAGATCTTGTGAGCACATGTGATGTCTGCCATACAATTCCACAAGATATTTGGCCATATCTCAGAAATTATTCAGGGCATAGTTTTAAAAATTTGCACTTGTGGTAGCTGCCATACACCCCCATAAGTTGTTTGTTCATAGCTCAGAAACTATTAAAGCTGCAAAGCTGAAATTACAAACAATCAAATTTGGTGATGTTGCCGTCATTTTCAATAAAACTCTTAGATTTTATGCTTTTATATGGTAACTACAATATATATATAAAATAGAACTAGACATATTTTAAAAAGCCAAAGGTTGTATGAAACTGTATATCAATTATCTCCGGCATTTAAAATCATTTGTTCGTACGGGTATCACAGAGTTGACACGGTCGACTACATCTATTCTCGTTTAGTTACGTTGCGTTAAGTTAAGCTGCGTATTTAACCTAATGTGTGTAGTTACGTAACTAATTCAATCAGCGATGAACTCTACGTCACATAACATTTAAGTTAATATATGTACGAGATGTGGTATATACACAAAAATTTTCTGAATTGAAAAAACTCATGGCGATGATGACGAAAGTTCTAAAATATACATAAAAAAGATAATGAATAAAATTTAATTTTAAAATAAAGCCAAATTTAAATTGTTTAAAAAATTCATTTTATTTAATTTAAGTAAAAAAAAAAATTTAAATAGCTCGAATTAAAAAAATGTTTTTCAAATTAACAATTAAGACAAAAATAATACAATGACGCAAAACATAATAAATTTTATTCGTTAAGATACGCATAATTTGTTATCGAAAAGAATATTAACACAATCAAGTGCTTATACGTTTATGACAACTCATCCCGCATTCATTATTTAATTAAATATTGCAGTCAATAATTGCACTAATTATTTATGAATAAAGATTAGTTTAACTTTATACATATAGTCTGTTTGCTTCAAATTATGCATTTAAGCTCAAATTCATTTAATCTCAGATCAGTTTAACTGAGTAACTTAAAGACTAAAGTTATAAAAAGTTAATAAAATATTTACATTTTAATGATAAAGTTAACATTTTTTAAAAAGTAAATACAATAATTTAATAATAGTAAGTTTATACATATGTATGTAATTAAATGTTTTTTTCTTTACAATATACATATGTACATATATGTATTAATTATATGTACATACATTATATTATGGTACCCTTTATCAAAATCTTAAAATAAATCTACAACAAAGTTTGATGACTCTTTGCATATCACACTGAAAATTTCTGACAGAAGGCAAGCACGTCAAAATTTTATAATTTTTCTAATTTAATAATGTTCACAGTATCTACTCTGTGATAGCCTCTGTAATTTGTTATTCTATGTGCGGGTTATGAATATTCCATAGCTGACTCTGGGACAGACTATATTTTTAGGTTGCCATATTACCATATTAATTTATGCAAAATTTCAGTACCGTTTACTTTTTATGTACAAAAATTCAGTACTTTTCAATATTTTGTAAGATGTGGCCATCTACGGCAGCTTAAATTTAAAGTAAATAAACAAGTTGAAGTAAATAAACATTTAAAAAATAAGTGAATATTTAAACAAGAAAACAAAGTAAGTAATTCAATAAATCGCAATATAATACAAACAAATATATGATAACTCATATTATTCAAAATAATATTCGTAAAATATATACTAGAGTCCCACAATCAATTGTTTTTCATATTGTGAACAAATTTTTTAAATTTTTTTGTGGCAAATGTTTCTAACTAAAATTCTGTTTGTGTGTCCTAATATATCCGAAAAAGTTACTACTTCATTGTTGTAACACCCCGATTCCAAATATTAAATTTCATGGAAATTGGTATACTATTGTTATGTTTACTATTGCATATAGGCAGAAATGTAAATTTGACCCATGGTAAACGTCATTCGGTGGATACCTGCTATTCGCGAACAGGAAAGTGACCTTCAGTACTGTTAGGCAAAGTTTATATATAAAATTTCAAATTAATCTGTTGAATATTTTCTTAAAAATCAAAAAAATAAATAAATTTAAACCATAGTAAAGGTTCACTTGCTGAAACTTGACATATCCCAAAAGTTGAGGAAATTCTGATATTAATTTTAGTGAAACTTGGTTCAGCCGAAGTTGAGATACTGATCTACACAGGCAGACTGATAGTCAGACAAACCGGCAGATATCTCATTAAAAATAGTTTAATTACAGTACCATTGTGTTTCAACCGAAAACTCCCTTACTGTATATGCAATACGGTCGGTAATATAGGTAGTTGCAATATGAATATGCACAGATTCCAAAAATTCGTGGCAGATGTGTATACAACATATTTGTACATATGTATACTACTTTTTTTTTAAAAAGTCAGTAAGTAGATCTTTTTTGTATGTATGTATTCTTTACAATATGTTTGTATACTAAAAACAAATCTGCTGCCCTTCTAAAAATGCATTGACTACCTATACGCTTCAATTTTATAAGTACAAAGATGCCAATGCGTAACATGCACGCTATAAAATCTCATATGAATAAAATATAATAGTAAGCGTATGATTTTATTTAAAAAGGGTATTTGCACGCTCGTATTTCGCTAACTGAGTTCCTTCTCAGTTAAAAAAAACATATAAGTGTATTTTAACAAAAAAGGGATATTTTGTCATCTTTTTATTTTTCACAAACTACTTACCCAATGTACTCGTCCCTATGAATGTACTTACATCGTTCGTTTTATAGTAAAATATGAGAAGTTCTTCTGATGTTAATTTTTTAATATTATGCCCTCAGTTAATTGTGTACATGGGAAATAATACATGTGAAGGTATTAAAAATAAAATAAAGTATTTTACATTGTTCAACAATAAAAGGTGATAAGAATTTTCGTTTTATTTTTTTTTTTAAATAAAATTTATTTTTCAATCAGAGTTTTACGAAAAAAACG